TTCATAGGCCTCTATTGAGTTGTTGTCAAGGACTAGGACTAAATGGGGGTCGTTTGGTAAATTATTTTTAAAGTGAGTTTGGTTGGGGGTAGTTTTTATCAATTTTTGAAAGTATATTAAGGGTTTTTAAAGTATTAAAACTACTTTACACTTTATTATTTCAAACACAAATTGGAAACCCACCTCTCGCAAAATATTCTTTCCCTAAAAACTTCCATTGGAGGTGAAGGATTCAAACTCTCAAGGTCAAAACCTCACCATTTTCCCGCAAGTTTTCTCAATTTCTTTCCTAAAAGGTATGGTAGTATTCATCTTTGAATTATATTCTTTCAAGGAGCGAATTCAAATCTTCAGAGTTCCCCAAAACTCAAGTTTTCAATCTATGCATGAGTTCAATTTCAAAATGATTTTTAGGCTTTTATATGATTATTTATGAATAGAATGTTGAATTAATGATGAATTTAGATGATTTGTCCTATGAACCCATGTTTTCCCCCGAATTCTTAAGTTGTGAATTGTGATTGGGAATTAATTGATCATGAAAGTATGTTGAATTGTTTATGTTTATATTGAATCAATTATTGAATCATGTCAATTTCCTTTATCTCTTATAGTAACTTGTATTTATGGGTTGATGTTGGTCCGTAGCCTTGAAAGGCAAGTTCATGAAGGATCTATGTATAAATTTGATGTGGAGTATATATATGGTGATCTCAATGAAAGTATAATGATCATGTTTAGAATGTAATTGTGTTATGATTAAACACTCTCAGTTGACACTCATGTTTAGAATGTAATTATGTTATGATTGAACATTTACTCTCAATTGACTCGCCCAGTAGATGGACTTCGTGGATTGAGGCCCCAAAATTTAAGCCACATAACCAAACCATTGCTTTCCATCATGACTCGTAGTCCCATCCACGATCCGTTGGTGGGGGTTCGTAGGTCTCCACTGAGTTGTTGTCAAGGTCTCGGCCTAAGTGGGTCTGGTTTGATAAATTGTTTTAAGTTGAGTTAGGGAGGACCACCATTGGAGGTGAAGGATTCAAGCTCTCAAGGTCAAGACATCACCATTTTCACTAAAGTTTTGTGGATTTATTCTTTAAAAGGTGTGGTAATCTTCATCCTTTACTGAGTTTCATTCTAGGATCCAATTTTGAAGATGATTTCAAATCATCAAAGTCCCCCCCCCCAAACCCTAGTTTTCAATCTATTCATGGGCTCATTTCCAAAACAATTTTAAAGTCTTTTATATGATGAATTATGAATAAAATGTTGAATGAATGATGATTTAAGAAGATTTCTCCTATGAACCCATGTTCTAAGAACAAGGGGTACAACCTCGAAACTGAACAAACACCTTAAACAAATAGTGTGAGGACTCAAACAAGAGATATCCATGGCATCTTATAAGAACTGTCTCACCCTTGAATTCGGTCACACTCAATAGTCACCTAACTGAGGTCTATCAATAGCCGCCTTAAGATGTCTTGACTAAACAAGCATAAGAGCGAGTGCAGTATCAGTACAAAATCACCGTGTACTAGTAGCATTATAAAAATGTGAGTTACATAGGAATTTTCTTGGGGATTAGACGAAAATATGGAGAAAAATAAATTCCTAGTGATTTTCACACTAATCCCAGGACAATCATTATGTAATCCACACTTTTCTTGTAGTGTAGGATCACATGACTATCCATTAAGTGCAACATAAGTAAGTCAATACAACATAATTATAGTCATGCATACACCATACATATATAATATCATCATTATTACGAACAATGGAGCATTTCACAATTCTCAAATATCACAGTTGTATCAGGTAGTTGGTCCTCTCATGGAACACAATCCAAACAGTTAGAATACTAGAACATGGTTATGACGGAACGTGGCAACCGATCCCAATTAGTTATGTCAGAACATGACAATCGATCCCAATTAGTTATGTCAAAATGTGGCAATCGATCCTAATTAGTTATGCCGGAACGTGGGAACCAATCCATTCAACACACCATAATCACAATCACAAGTATATTCTTAATATCATACAATCAATAAGTGATTCATGACATATAATTATTCATTAATCTCGTTTACAACAAGTGTGATCAATCATGCAACATTCGCATACACACATGTATCATAATGAAGCAAGAACAAACATACATCTCACAATCATAGAATCACAACAACCACCTACCTCGAATTCAAGCTTGAATTCCCTAAGGCACTTGAATCTTCCCTTTTTTGGATTCTATCCCCTTGTTTAGTGTCTACAAAGAACAATTTCTATATAAGGATTAACAATAAAAGGTCTAATTATCCGTATTATAACGAACTCAATAACCCTAGACGAAACCCATGATCTCCATACCCAGGGTTTTTCCCACCGTAACTCCAAGATCCTAACCCTCCCCGTCGATAATTACCGAAGAAACTAAGCTCTACGAATCAAGACACGGATTCGGGGGAGTAAAATGCTTACATTAGCTTCAGGAATGGTAAAAAAACTTTCAACAGTCTTCTGGGGTTCGTTCCTTAGTTCTAAAAATTGAAAAGTGCAAAATAAAGTCATTTAGGGGTTTGTTTACGACTTTATTCGTGTATGGCCCGCCACAACGACCCTCACCCCGCTATAGAGGCCCGGCCAAAGTGCCGAAGCAGCTTGCACGAAACAGTGAGAAATTTTAATAATTCCGATACCCCCATTTCACAACACACCTCTCACCGACGATACTCAGAAAATTCCCTTAACGCTAAGATCGGTTTCGGGAGTTCTACTTGCCCGAATTCAATTCCGTAAAGTCATACGGTTCCTTAACGTCTTACCTATCCACTCATGTAATAAAGCTCATTAATATATCGCTCATTTGTTACCATATTTCCCTAGGCATCAATGACTCCAATTTCGTCCAAATCTGGACTAGAAAATCTCAATTTACTATGAAAATATTTTCTGGACCCAATTTTTTTCCATTGGATTTTCTGTAACGACAAAAATCAGGTCGTTACAGTACCAAACAAGCTCCCTCTTCTTACCGTCAAGTCGTTGAACGCCCCCTCTACTAGGCAACAAGAGTCGGTTATGAATTAGCCTTTTAATCGACTTTCTCACTCTTAAAGACAAGTTTTTTTCACAAATATAATTTTTTTAACCTAAAATAGCCTATAACATATTTTTTTGTTAATTAAAACAAATGAAAACTTTACTTGCCTCAAAAATTACAGTAACACTTTGGTTGGTTAATTTGGTCTTGTAGCTCATTCCAGGTTACCTGAAACATAGAGCAACCATAAAAATGATTCAAAATTATTTACTTAGTGTCCCCAATAAACATTATTTGCTCCCCCTTGTATTTCCTCAACAATTCTCTACCATCAAACCTATAAAAAAAAATTAAAATTAATCTATATATATACCAAATAAAAAATAAACAGGTGAATTCGATCAATATTCACATATGAATTCATAATAGTGTTATATATCGACTGTCATGACGTATATTTGGAGATTAAACAAATTAAAACTATTTCCAACATGTATAAAATAGAGATAAATTAAATGTATATCGTTTGACTAGGTAAGTTAGATGAGAACAAGCAAGAATGGCAGATAAAATAATTGAGTTAATCAATTGAACACCATTCATCAGAAAATTATATTACGTGTCGTAAATCTCCAACATTCTTAGGGAAGCATAAATTTTACGTACCTTGGTAAATTGCAAGCATTAGGTTGTCATTTATATTTAACATATTAACGATCATGTCGATTGGTACAAACAAATATCTTCTAAATAAATGGACAAGTAGTTGTGTTATATAAAGGATTGATAACATTATCGTCAATCACCCAACTTCCTTCGAACAAGTTGCAATTGCTTGAAATTTATTTGTGCTTCCTCTTGATTTGATATTATTCTTGCTGTATTTCTTTCTATATAAACTAATTTCTTGGAAATTGCATCTGAATAAAACCTTGAAAATACTGTCAACATGGCTTCAAAAACAAATATAAAACTCAATATAAACATTGCACCATGAGTATATACTAAAGTACTATTCACACCCTTAGCCATTTTTTTATTAGTAAAATATCTCTTTCTAAGCAAAACCAGATTTGAAAAGAGAGGCACAATATTACAACAATTTGGAATTTTCTAGTGTCATCAAAAAATTTACCCCTTCACGCTCAACATAGAGTGTTCATCGGAAGGGCAAAAATTGTGGCAGAGGTAATTACATGACAAGTTGGTTCCTATTACTTGTAATTAAGGACTAATTAATATGATAGCTGTTTTGGTTTCTTATGGACAAGTTTATTTTAATTACCATTTTCAGATGCTTAATTAATTAAATGGGAAATATAAATACATAAGAAGCATTGAAGTTTATGCTAATTGAGAAAATGAGATGAAAGAATAATGTGGATAAAAATGGAAAGGTTATTTAAATACATGCATGAGCTAGACAACTTGTCATGGTATCTTTTTTGACATTAAAAACCAATAGGAAATTAGTACATGAATGGGGGGTACAAATTGTTAATTATATGATGAATGAACACATGAAATTAATTTACATTTAACTAAAGGTTCTTCATTATTTCGACTCTAAAAGTTTGATTTAATCAAATTACACTTTTATAGCGAAATATAGTTGTTTTAGCTTTAGTCTTCACCCTTTCTCCTAAGCAAAATTACTCTTTGTGATTTATGTCTGGCCCTTCTTAGGTCTGGATTACCGTTATTAATAATAGATTTAGCTCGCACACTTCTCCTTTAAGGAAAGTTAACTTGGTTGAGGTTGTTTATTTTATTAGATTTCCAAACAAAAGAGGAAATTTTCGTTTATAGAGTAAGTAGGGAAAAGTTTACGTCAAGCCAATGGATATAAAACATGTCCTATGTGTACACTTTTTAATGGTTAATTAATCATTGAGTGATATGAATTTTCATTTTGATTTGTTGACATTTAGGGTTAATTATTTAGTTAGTTGTAAGCAAGCCATGTGGGTGACTAAAAGTTTATGTTGAAACATCGTTTGGGTAGTTTTCTATGTCAAACCTGAATAAAGGAGGAGACAATAGATATGTTATGTTGACACTAATAAATAAGAATAACTCTAATTTTTTATATATCCTTTCACACTTAGAAGAGAGATGTGTATTTTTAGTAACAATAAAAATGGAACCATAGTCATCTCCTATGCTCCCAACTCATCATCATACTTACGTTAAGAAAAATTGCATATATTTATTTATTCCACTATATGTTAACAAAATGATAAATCATTTTTTTTCTTAAAGTAGAGGATAAAGAATTTAATTCCAAGTATCAGGAACAACACCAATGCACCAATACAATCCAAGCCATGTCTGCCGTTATATATGCTAGGATGTCCATCTTTTCTTAGTTGTGATAGCTTTTGTTATGCCAAGTAAATTTATTATTGGCTTTGACATGTTCTTTAATACTTATGTCACTATGTCCAGAGCAATTGGTAAACCACTTGGCTATATTGATCCATTGATTGGAGTTGTTTCATTCAAGCAACTGTTTATTGTTGGTTCACCCCATTATGATCCACTGTCCATGTACAAAACAAAAACAACTAATTGCAATAAAGATTTGAGGAAGAGAACATATATTTGTCACAGAAGATGTCCATCACAATTACTTTTTCATTCTTTTTTCACCCCATCTTACACTCAATATTAGACATATCTAGAGCGTGGATAATTTAATTTAGGGGCCCAACATCAGACTCACCAAAAAGTACTAGTTAAAAAGAGTTAGTTTCGCCTAAGCCTTAATAAGTATACCACATGTCTTATTAACCACAGATGTAAGATTTTTTCATTCTTCAACCATCAAAAAACTACGGTAATGTCCTCATATGTTGAAATGGGAAATTGGAATTACACATAAAATTATAAGAGTTTGTGTTAGGATTGAATCCACACACACTTGATGAATGAAGAATACAAGAACTTTCAAGAGAAAGAGATGAGAGATCTAGAGAGAGAAACCAATATTTCATGGTAGCACTCCGTGAGTAAACTTGTGGGGTATATATATTAATAAATCAGAGTATTTTTGGTTACAGAGAATAAATATTACAACCTAAAATATGACAGTACATCAAATATTAATCAGGCTCCGCAACCTAACAGTTTGTTATTATAATAACGACAAATTATTAACAGATCTTCCAAGAGAAGAACAAGAAATTAAAAGAGCCAAGGGAGGGAGGTTTCAAAATTAATCTAAGCAACTAAGAAGTAATGAGACAACTTCATAGCATGGTCCTAAAAGATTATTTTACTATTTTATACGTAGACATTTTCGTAGGGTCTCACATGTAATTTGACATATTACTACATAAGTCCTCCTATCTTAGTTATATTCATAACAACTACATCATTTAAGTTCATTTATTTTGTTCAGGCAACAAATAAACTCAGCAATTTAAGATTAGTAAAAACCACGAAAATAAAGTTATTATGTTCTCTTAAATCAAGAAAGTCATTAGGAAGGATATATACTATTGTATAAAATATATTCTATCTCCAGTTTTTATTTCAATGTTATTCTTGAAAAGAGATTTATAACAAAAAATGAAAAAGAAATATTATAGCTCAAAATAAAAATAAAATTATATGAATGAAAAGTTCTTACTTGTAATGGGCTAGAGATGTTCCTTGAAAGAAAACTTTGGTTTTTGTTGTATCAACATCTGTTTCAACCCATCTGGCCCATGTTTTTAGCCCAGTCCGGAAAGCTTCAATCCAATTTATATCTTTTAATATTTGGCCATTATATTCAACAAAATCTCACCTACAATCAATATTTGCACATTGTAAAATTCATTTTATTAAAAATAAAAGATATATATGATGCATTACTAGTTCATGGTCATGAAATTATTGAAACATCCGGGTATTATCTTCACTTCTTTGATCAGACGGAGAGTAAATTGAAAATAAAATAATAATGAACATACTGTTGTCCAGGTGGTCTTCTTGTATACCAAAGCCAAGTATCGAATATCAATATGTCAAAATTCTTCCAAATTTGTCCATCTTTAGTTGAATCTAGTTTCAACACGTGTCCAATTTTTTCAACTTCTGTCTACTAAAAGGTTCGAATGAAATAACACTATTTCAACTCCATAATCCAGTAAATTTAAGAAAAGAAAAAAACACTTTAGGTTTTTATTTCAATAAAACACATACTCACAAATCTAGAGGCAATAATGTAAAACATATAATTTTTTTAATTTGTTTCAATTGCTTGATTTGGAATACGAGGATTCAAATTAATTTTTTTTTACATATTTAGAGGCTATATAATTACGTTGTCAAAAAAAATATACACAAAACAAACAAACTGAAAACTAGTTAACTAAAAGAACATTCATAATAAATTTGTTTTATAAGTCTTTTGTACGTATTTTGAATTGCTACATAAGAGTAGTGTTTTGATAAAGGACTGTGCTAAAGAGTTGTATATATGGCAATCTCTTAGTAATAGAAATCCATAAATAATGTATTGCACATTTAAAAAAAAAGAAAAAAAAAAAGAAGCTTACCACAAATGTAACAATGACATTTTCTTTACTTGATTGAATTTTGCTTCTGGGACAGCAGCATGAAGCAAGCACAAACGGTATTCATAAATGTTTAGACTCAAAGAATCCCCAATATACATTATTTTCTTTCCTTTAAATTTTTCCAAAAATGCTTTCCCATCAAATCTACAAATTATTCCCAAAACACAAAAAATTAAATTAAATTGTTAAAATAGTAAAGAAAATTATATTCGTAACATTAATATTATTATATTATTTGATCAAATATTTGAACAAACACAGTTAGCATCAAATCCCTTCCTCACCACTTTGATATTTATTCTTTGTGAAGAAATATATCATTAAAATGTCTTGGTGGGAACTTACATCAATTTTAGTCAAATCAATTTTAATTAGGAAGACATTTTAAAAATATTAATCAATAAAATACATTGTAGAGATCCAATCTACTGGAGAGATTTGATTAATTCTGAATTAAACAATTTAGAATAAAGGAATTTGCTTGACACGTTCAGTGTTTTAATTCTAACATGTTCATTTTAATTGTTGAACATAAATAGGTGATGCTCCATTGTAATTTCCTTCGACATATTCATTGATCAAATGAACAAAAGTTCAAAGGCGAAGCACATGTTATGAATTCACGACCCCTTTGAGTTGAGTTTTCCTTATTTAGCAGGGAATATAGTTATTTGACTTTTAATGAAAATAATTTTTTTTTCGTAAATATTTTGATTTGTTGTATCTTAAAGAGAATATACTGAAAAGAAGTTTCAGTTATTTGATCATCTATAAAATTTACTTTGATACTATCAGCATAAGTAACTTAAAGAAGAATACTCTATACAATAAGCATAAATAACTTAAAGAAAAATATGTCATATAAAATAGAAGAAATAGATGGAATAAAGAGATAGAGATGAACCTGGCAAGACACAAGCATTAAGGGGCTGCCATCTATATTTGAGATAATCAAGATTTGTATATAAACTGTACAATAAAGTTTTATTATCTTAAGGCACGTCCTCCTTTTTCTTTAAAAAAATAGTTGAGAAATTGAAGTTTATCTCTTAGACTTATTTATAAATTAATGAGATAATGCCTAAATATCCCCTCAACCTATGCCCGAAATCTCAGAGATACACTTATGTTATACTAAGGTCCTATTACCCCCCTAAACTTATTTTATTAATAATTTTTTACCCCTTTTGGACCTACGTGGCACTATCTTGTGGGCCCAACGATGATTGACTTTTTTTTCAAACTAGTGCCACGTAGGCTAAAAAGGGGGAGAAAATTACTTATAAAATAAGTTCGGGGGGGTAATAGGACCTTAGTATAGTATAAGTGTGTCTTTGAGATTTCGGGCATAGGTTGAAGGGGTACTTGTGCATTTTCCCTAAATTAATTAATTGTTAATTTGTGAAACTGTGCTCATTTTTGTCTCCTTAATTCTTATTTTGATGCTCTAATAGGTGAGTAAATTATTTTAATCAGATTTTTTTTTGTAATTTGCTCAATTTCGTAGAGTTACTTTTTAATATTACATAAGAAACTTTTAATTTATAGTATCTTAATTTCAATGTATAATTATTTAGTTTTCAACCTTAGTAATTTTATCCTATAATAATGAAGACATATTTAAATGATGCAAGTGAAAAAGCATACCAGAAGAAGGAAACAAAGTCTCATTTACTATAATATATTGTGTGTATTCTCTTTATGAGATGTTAATTATTCTAAAATCTAGCCTCCCATCTTTCTGATTTCATATGTTCATTGGAGATACTTTAGTAAGTATGTTTTTGCTCTTTACTTTTTGTTTCATCTTTGCAATATTCTAATTTTGTAGGTACAAACAAAAAAGACATTATCAAACTATTTAGTTCGGTACACACAATGGTTGATCATATTACATGTCATATCTTATCAATTGTATTTACATAGATGAACATTTTGAAAATTCTTATGATTTCTTTGATATGCTTTTCTTTTTCGTTGGCGAGATGATGGTATCAGAACGTTTGATTATAAGAGCGTCCTGCTAGACTTAAAAAATAAGTTATTAGTTTAATTTTGTACATGGTCAGATTATGGAAATCATTCTGTTAATACTTATTTAGTTTGGTTCAATATTTTTATAATTTTCTTAAATTATCTTTTGAGTTTGGAGAAATAACTTCCGAAATAGTATAATTTTCTTAAAATATATATGATGTGCTTGTAATTAATCTAATAGAGATTTTTTTTTATTTTTATATTTACTAATGAAAGAGGTTGTAACTTTGAATCAGACAAAGAGTGTGTCTATGTGCATAAATGTATCACTTAACTTTTAATGAGCTATTTTAAATATCTCTATTACAAATAACTTTACTTTTCGTAGCTTTACATCATGAAATTGATAATGATCATTCAAACAAAAACATATATTAGTTTCATACCTATATTAGTTTGATAGTATTTACCTTCATTTGATAAAGATTTTTAATATCTATGCGGCTATAGAAGAAATCAAATTATAAATCAATATTTTCGACACATGAATTATTTGCACTTTGAACCGACATTGCTCAAATTCACATGTAGAAAATGTAAAAGAAACAAGAAAATGAAGTTGAATGTTCTTTATACTAAATGATTTACATAACTAAATTTTGACGTTCAAAAAATCCATTATGTTTTGTATATTCCATCAGTTCAATTTTAGTTCTACTCGTCACAAACATATTACCAGCACAAGCATATTACCGCACTAATTATATATAATTTTAAGATATTGAACTAACTAGTATGAAATTTACGTGTAACTCACGTTTCCAGAGATATTTCAACATGCGTGGTTCTTGTCAATTTTTAAAAAGTTAAAGATTAAATTAGTCAATACATACAATATCATACATAGGTGGCATAAGATGGGTATAGAATATCAAGCGTGTGCTCTGCATATTACTTCATCTGTCAACATTGACACCCTCTGTATATGAGAAGTTTTTATACATTGATTACATCTCCTTCAGCAGTCCATAATTCTCTCACAGATTTTTAATTGCATGTTTATAATGGAGTTTCAGCAGCTGCACATCTTCTTCTTTCATGAGATTTAATTCATAAAGACTTCTATTGAAAAATAGAGTGTCATCAATTGGATCAAAATCGTGTACCTGTAGATTATTAGCAAACACAAGTGAGCAGGTAAGTGATGCATTCATCTAATTATTTCAATACAATTTCTGATTGTTTAATATTGTCTTTGATTCCTATTTGACACAATAATTATCAATTCGCAATTGAGATTGAAGTTTACGTATTAAATAATGGACTATTATGTGTAGATCAATGTTTTAGAATTTGACAGAATGGAGATGATGAGAAAAACGAGTTGTTATGGTATTTGTAAGGATATATTTAATTTATAAGATACTTCCTCCGTTTAGAATTGTTTGTGCATGTTTCATTTATCGAAAGTCAATTTGACTAATTTTCAAAGGTAAATTAGATCACATAATTAAGAGTTTTGCATTGGAAGAGATAGCTTATTGTTTTATAAAATAATTGGGTTGTGCACAATATACTATTGAAGACAGTGACGGAGCTAGATATTTCACGAAGGGTGTCCAAGTGAACCTGCTCTTCTTAAAAAGTGAATTTTTTTTGCAACTAGTGAGATTCGAACATACAAATACTTTAAGTTCTTACTCTTTCAGGGCGCCTAAAATAACTAGGCTACATCATATTGTTGTGTCAAGGGTGTCCAAAATATGTTATTTAGTCACTGTGTGAAGTTTTACCTGCGGTTATTGCATGAAAAATCTTTTCAAAACTGTTATTTTGTCTTTTCTTATATAATGCAATTAAAGGTTGTTGTTGCCTTGAAAAATGAGACAAAAAAAATGAATTGAGCTCCCATGAATAACCTTTGTAGCTGAGTTGTTGGCTACTTGAACTTTCACATAATTGGTGTGGTGAAGTTTCGATTTCAAAGCCAGTTCCCATTTCCTTTTAAAGGAAGAAAGAAGATCTGAACTCTCATAGTTTGGCTGTCACGATAATTGCTATAGTTGATGGGAATTGTGACAAAACCTTTTAATAAATCAATGAATTGAGTTTTTTAATGGCGACTTTAGAAACTGAAAAACAACTTATTGAAAGGTGGAATCAAACCTGAGTTTATTTCTCTTATTTTCATCTTTATTGGTTACATGTGTTCTTTAGCTTTAACTTGCACCTTTTATCTTTGGATCTATTTGCTTGTTTTTTTACTTACTAGTTTCCGAGCACGCGCTTTGCGCGTGTAACCCATGAGTATATTATTTCTTAAAAAATAATATTACTAAATAATAAAATATGTCTAATTGAGATTTCTTACTTTGTTTAACTATTAATTGTGACACTCCAATTTTCTGACCTCCTAGTGAATGCATCGAAATAATAATATGAAAAATTAATAAAATAAACTCGTTTATAATTCAAAAAAAAGTTTAC